CCTGCCCCTGTGCCTATTTATTTTGATTAGTTCATTCTTGCTATTATGGTCTAATATAGGAAACTTGGTTTTATCCGGCCTAGGAATCTTCACTCTCATTCTTAGTTCTTTCATTCGATAAGATTTTAATAGAATACTACTTTTGAATGAGTTTTTCTAATCTTTGTTTCAAAATTCAGTACTGCTTCAAGCCACGCTCTGAAGGTGAGTGCCAGAGGGTTGGGCAGGAGGCAGATGAAGAGGCCTGAGAGTCTGGGTGACCCAAATCCCTAAAGTACTCAATTTGAGAGTAAAAGAAAATCTCCATTGAATTATAATTTCTAGGAAAAAGAAGCTTAAGATCTGTCTTTTGAAAAATAACCAATTATTCCTACTAGTACTGCTAATGAGTTAGAGATTTAACTACTCCCCCTTGAATTCTAGGTATTCAATAAGTTTGTATAATAAGGTTTCCTTATGAATATTCATTTATTAATTTCACAAATATGTGCTACTTTTTCATATATGAAGTCTGATGACATATTTCCTCCATTCAACAAGTTCATCATCTCATGGGAGAGATTAATATATCAACAACTACAACAAAATCTGTTATGTGGAGGATCACTGCTAGATAGGCAGATACGTATGTGCTGTGAGGCAGTTTCCTGACTCGGGAACATCAGAGGTTTTCTCATGGTAGTTGTCAGGATGAGCAACTGGGCAAAAGGGTGGGAGGGCTTTCCTTGGCTGAGGAAGTTGTATTTGCATGTGTGTCTGTATGGCTGACATTTGGTGAGAGGTGACTAAAAAGACAGGAGCTTTTTTAGATATTCAGGAATGAAGGTAAAGAATTTAGATTTTTCTGAGAGTATTAAGCAGAAAAGTGACCTTATAAGACTTAGATAATTTTTTTTTTTTTTCACCAGTGTTTGAATCTAGGGACTTAGTCTACTGGACCACTGGGATTACAGGCCATTACCACACCACCATATGATTGCCACCATTATTAGTTATGGAAAATGACAAACCCCTCCAATAGTGAGACCTGGAAAAAGGGGAATGAGAAGGAAAGCCATATATTGAGAGCGTTGATCCTTTTTCAATACATTTTTTCCTGGTGATAAAACAAACCCCGGGGAGGAGGGTCTTCATCAAATCTAGAAAGACAGTCTCTGGGAAGAGGCCAAAGCATTAATCCTTCTCTAAACAAGTCCTTTTCAGATACCAACCACTGACCCCAGGCTTTCCATCAAGTCTAGTAAGATAAATCCCAGTGACTGACTGCTGACCCTAGACGCCCTCCCATTTTGCCCAGTAAAATAGACCCCAAATTCCTGAGTGCCCGAGTTGACATCCTCATTAATTAAGTCAGTATAACCTACATAAGCCCAGTGCCTTCCTTTGTTCAGTGGCTCATTTTCCACAGGAAAGTGGGTACTTTCTTGTAGGTATAGTCCTGTTCCTGAATAAAGGCTGAAATGATCTGTGAAGTTTGCATCCAGCCTTGTCTTTTTGTTCTAACAACCATGCCCAGCTAAGGCTTGATCATTTTACCAGCAACCTGGATTGCTGACCAGAGGCACACATATTGATTTTCAGTGGAGAACTGTATGTGTGATCTACGGTGAAGATCTGAGCTAGTGGCATTGGAGGAGACAGAAAGATGGACAAATTCCAGAGAGATGTGGAATTAGAAGCAATGAGTCCTGGCAACTGTCTGGATCTGAGGAATAAAGGAGAAGGAAGACTAGAAGATGCCTCCCACTTTTTGGGAGGGTGGGTAATCAGGTGGTGGTTCGGAGCCTTCATCTATGTAAATGCATGAGATGGTAGCAGATTTTGAATCCATTGGGTGTAAGATGCCCAAGGATACCCAAGTTGTGAAGTCCTGCCCAGTCAGGGGCATGTGTGGGTGGGATTGCCTGAGAGAGACTGGAATTGAGGGAACTTTGTATATGATTGGTAGTTAATGCTGATTATATTTAAAGGTAGATGGAACCAGAACAAGGTATGTAGTAACAGACTCAGGGATGGAACTGTGAGCTCACTGACTGGTGGTGATGTTGGGAAGACATGGATTCTTGATGGAAATTGAGAATGTTCAGAGGGGTGCAAGGAAGGCAGGAAGAGAGGCCTTAAAAACTGAGGGAAGGCAGTTTTGAAGAGGGGGTAACCAATAGCATCAAATGCTGCAGAGAGTTCAAATAACATAAACTCTGAAAAGAGGCTGTTGATTGTCCAAATAGGTCATTGGCAAGACTTGGAAATGGCTCCCGTGGGGAGTGGAGTAGGCCCTAGCACTCACTGGGTTAAGCCGTAGATGGATGAGAAAGTGAAGACAAGAGCTGTGCGATGTTTAAGTCTCAGTGTTCCTGGGAAAGAGACCCGAGGCCAGGAAAGGGAGCTGTGACTGGGTGGGGCTGGCAAGAGAGGGAATGCTTTTTAATTTAGTGGGAGAAATTTGGGCATGTTTATGTGCCCTAGTGACTGAGTCTTGAGGTTTTGGCCTCAGCAAGAAGAATACTTCCTCTTCCCTGGGTGAGGGATGAAGCTGGAGAAAGGGAAGCCTATGTAGCTAGGACTGTGTGTGCTAGAAGGGAGGAGGTGGGGTTGGAAGGAACGTCACTCAGCTATTCTGTATATGTGCAAAGAGAATGATAACTACTGAAGCCCACTTTACTAGGCCATGTGATATTTGTGATAAAAAGACTGCATGGACAATGTAAAAACTTAGATTATTTATAAGTCTTTAAACCCCAATGGATAAAAAATTATTACTTAATAATATTCACATTAATTTAAAGAATCTTGATAGAAGAAAAATTAGAGACTTCATTTACCAGTTTTTCAGTCTCTTAGAGGGTTTGTTCAAATTATATCCACATCATTGGCATTTTGGAGCTTGCAAACAACAGAGCAGCTACAACATGAATTTTTAGTGCCAATTTTGACCACAGTGTGGTGTCTAGGAAGGCTGAAGGTCAGGAGTTTGATTGATTAGGTGATTAAAATTCCTTTTTAAACAAATTAGAGGTGGCAGGTTTGCCACAGGTGAGAAGTACTACAAGGAAATGAATCTCATTAGTGTATGAAACTTCTTGGATCATTAAAAAAAAAGTTTAAATGACACACGTGTGTATGCAAAGGAATGACTTGTGTATGTTATCACCTAGTGTCTAGAGTAATTTTTTTGTACATTTATAAATATAATGCACAGGCCCTAGATGAGATATGTTTTTTTAAATTTTTAATTAGATACTCTAAGACCCTAAGTAGTTCAGTTTAGCCACGTCTTATTTTTACATTTATATTTAGTTCTTCTATGTGGCTGGGTGATTAAATTTGTGATTAGGCATTTGAATTTGGGATCCCTGACTTAGGGGGAGGTAGAAAGGCCAAGGAAGAAGCCAGGACAAGTGTGTAGAAGGGGAGGAAGGGACAAAAAATTTTTTGAGAAAGGTCAAGAGTGGTAAAATGGTCTTGCTTGTGATAAAAAGTGAAACAGGATTAATGAATAGCAAGACTTTGTTTTCTCCTCTCACATCTATATGATAGCTTTAACCTATGAATTTCTTGTTTTTTGACTAATAGCAAACATTTAGGAAATACAGTGAACCCAGTTGGTTTTCATGTGGTCATCTCAGCTTTATGTAATGTGTGAAGATTCAGCTGAGAAAGTAAATGTCTTCTTCTTCTGATGTGAGTGGATGTTTTGTTGCAATGAAGGAGAATTTCTGCTATAAAGAAGCCCAGGTGTGGAGAATCTCTTTGTAGAAGGCATGGAGCTCCCTCGAAGAGGTGAAGACACTGCAGTGTGGAATGTAGTGAACCACAGAGGCAGGAAAGCAAGATACAAGCTGATATTTATGAAAGACTTTCATGTGTTAGGCATGTGCTATGTACTGCACAGTTTATGGGTGGTTAATCCTTATGACTCTAAGGATTATATATCTAATACTTATGACTCTAAGGTTTTTTATATATATATATATGTATATAAAAAGTGTTGATTCCAGTGGACTTTTAAAAAAAAAATATATATATATATATATATCTCCAGATGTGGAGTTAGGTACTATTCTTTCTTATTTTTTCATGAATGTAAATTTTAGTGTTTTGGCCAGTTATGGAAGGCTGAGGCAAGAGGATTGCAAATTTGTGGCCAGCCTTAGCAATTTAGCAAAACCCTTAGTAACTTAGATGCTGTCTCAAAATAAAAGGACTGGAGATGTATTCAGTGGTTAAGTGCCTCTGGGTTCAATCTCCATTATCTGAATAAATGAATAAATAATGCATTTTTGTGTTTTTATTTTGGTAAAATATACATGACATAAAAATTCTTACCATTTGTAAGTATATAGTAAATGTGTCCCATTGTGGTGCAACTGTCACCACCAGAATGGGTTTTTTTCTTTTTTCTTTTTTTAAAAATATTTATTTATTTATGTATCTTTAGTTTTAGGTGGATACATTAGTTTGTTTTTATGTGGTGCTGAGGATTGAACCCAGTACCTCATGCATGCTAGGCGAGCACTCTACCACTGAGCCACCACCCCAGCCCCTAGAATGGGTTTTTTCAAACCAAAACTCTGTACCCATTACACCCTAACTCTTGTTTGTTTCTCCCTACCTTCAAACCCTGGCAACCACCATTCTGCTTTCTATCTTTATGAATTTAACAACTCTTAAGTGCTTTTGTGAGTGGAATCATACAGTATTTGTCTTTCTGTGACTGGTTTATTTCACTTGACATAGTGTGCTCTAAGTTGTAGCCTGTGTTGAAGTTTTCTTCAACTGAAAAATATTCCACTGCATGTAGAGACTACATTTTGTGTATTCGGGTCTCTGTGGACTCTTGGGTTGCTTCCACCTTTTGGCTATTGTGGATAATGCTTCAGTGAACAAGGGTGTGCCGTTACCTATTCTAGTCCTTGCTTTCAGTCTTTATATAGCCAGATGTGGAACTGCTGGATCATATGGTAATTTTATATTTAATTTTTTTAAATTTTATTTTTTAGGGACCTGGGTACTGTTCTCTACAGCTGCTTCATCATTTTGCTTTCTCACCACCAGTGCACAGAGTTCCAGTTTCTCTACGCAGGAGGTGGGTAGTATTCACCTTTTAATGTTACAGAGGCAGAAGGGAGGCACAGAGGGAAGGGAGTGAGCTTCACAGAGTTTAACGGAGGTCACATGTCCAGTTTGGAATTTGAACTCATCAGCTCAACTCCTGAAACTTAATTCCTGTGACATACAGGTAAGATGAACCCAAAGAGGGTAAGGGACTTGGTTAAGGGCCTCCTGTCTGATAGTGTCCAAGCCTGGATTCAAAGCTTGCTTTCAGAGTTCTTGTTGGGAAGCATTTTTAAAATTAACCAAAAAGTCATTTTTTTTAAATGAAAGTCCTTTTAAAAAGTATTAATCTTTAAATGTCTCTATATAGCCTTTCTCAGCTTTTCCAAATTCATGCTTTAAAATCTTATTATATATAATATCATCTTAAAAAATGTCTTCAACATGTTTGATTTTCTTTTTATCTTTCTTGGGTGATGTTTTCTTGGCTTAAAATATTAGAATAAGTATTGATTCTAGTGGAGTTTTAAAATAGAGCTCTGCTCTGTCCATCCCTGTAAGAAATTTGCTTTTCAATAAAACCAAGGGGAAGGTATCTAAAACTGGATTTAAGTTGGGGAAGTCTGGTGGTGCAGTGGTAAACATTGAGGACTTGTTTTTATGTAGATAAAGTGAATTTTCCAGCTTTTATTAATAAAGGAGCAACACTGTGAAACTTACGCATTGCTCTACTTAATGTTTTAATAGATTGTTTGTTCTCCCTCAAAGCAGCATAGAGGGCTATTCTGAAAGGAGCGCCATCCCTCGGGGATGTTGGCTCAGCTAGGCCAGTGCCAGTTCAGGTCACAGCCTGTCTCTAATGCCTCTCCCATTGCTGTCAAGGAGGTGCCTCCTGAAAATAGAGATGGAAGGCCTCCTGGACCCTGCCTCATCATTGAGCTGGGGATCCTGGGTGTGCTTGGTTCTCAACATCTCTCCCAGGGTTGAGGGAAGACAAAGACCTCTTGTCCTAGCATGCCAAGGGCCTATAGGCATGCTAAGACAAATTCTCTGATCTGGAAGATACCTTCAAAATAATCTTTAATTCTGTGTTTCCCAGCTATGATGACACATTACAGTCTATCTGGGAAGGGACTTTTAAAAATGATAATGCCAACTGACTTAGGATGTAGCTCATTGGTAGAACACTTGTCCGGCGTGCATAAGGCCCTGGGTTCAATCCCCAGCCCTGGAGGGTGGAAGAAAAAAAAATGCCAGAGTTCCATCTCAGGTATGATTGATCTGATGTATGTGCCACTGCTGAAATTTTTGAAGATTCTGAGATGATTCTGGTATATGGCTTGATGTAGGACCATTTTGCTTTAATACCTTGTTTTAGGTTGTAAGAGTTTTACCGTGACAAACATGCGAAAATGTTGTGTTCTCAGAGTAGCCTTGGTAGTTGATATTGTTAGAATGAGTTCCTCCCATTAGAAGGGAACTTCTTCTCCACCTCTTTTTCCTCCTCCTCCTCTTTTTTTATTTGTAGTGGAAAGTTATTTTCCTGTCTTCCTGGAGTGTGTCTTTGTATTTAAACACTTTAGTGCTTGCTACTGTGGAAGATAGACCTATTTACTTTCATTCAGGTATATAGAAGAAGGATAGTAATTCATTCTCCTAGATTTCCATGGAAGCTCTAGATCATTTTCTGGATTTTGACAATAGTTTCATTTTGTAATCTGTAGACTTTGATGACATTTGTGGTGATAGTTCTGATAGTTCCTGAAGGCTGCTCACATAAACCTTACCTCCTCTGGTGAAAATAGGTATAGTGCTTTCTACTTTCCTGTAATGTGAACAATTGGCCTATCATAATTTAGAAATCTTGGTGCATTTTTGAGTGAACCACATAGTCAGTCTTATCACAGGAGAAAGTCAAGGTATTCCTAGAAAGAGAGGCCTCAACTCAGATTGAGTGGAGTGCTTGACATATGTTGCAGAACTGAACTAAAAGATACATCATTTTAGAGGCCCAAAGATGTATTTATGACAACAGAGACACATTCAGGGGAGAATGTGGGCCATTTGACAATGAGATGCTTTTGGGGTTCTCAGACTCTTTTGTTTTAAAGGAAACTTGATGAGGGGGGGCATGAGAAGGTATGTGAGGATGATATCAGTCTGGTTATCTGAAGGCCATTTATGGTTGTCTGGTCAGTGTTAGAATCTTTAAAGAATGGTATAGTTCCCATTATCTGATCAGTAGATAATGTTGGATCGTACCCTAGGTCATATGTTTCTTAAAATATCATCTCTCTCTTTACTTTGTTACATAGGCTAATTAACAGTGCAAAGGTATTTTTTATAAGTGAGTAAATGGATAGTAAGTCTATCTTACTATTTATCTATTTATCTATTTATCTATAAAGATTTACAGATTTCCCAGGAATTTGGGAGTGACAGGCCTGGGAGGAATATTGGCTTTTGGGGTGAAGGCATTTGATCATAAGGCTTTTAGGTAAAAGTTAGTTTCCTTGTCTTTTTTGTCCTTTCTGCATATCTCATTTCTTCTACCTACCTGAATCTGAGGGTTCTTCAGTGTGGAGGAATGCTTTGTCTAAACAAACTGTTAGGGCCCTGGGAGTGTGATGTATCTGGCATTATGCTGCTTTCCCTAAGGTCCCTGGTATGTTGGACTGTGCTTTAAGGTTATTTGCTTGATAGTATATCAGAGTTTGGAGATGAGATTTAGAGCTTGGTAGAAACAATTGTCCTCCTCGCTTTGATTTTTGTTTTAATAATGAGTGATTTGCTGTGAAATTAAAAAAAAAAAGTCATTATTTTGTTCTCAGTTTGTATATGAGAGCTCTGTCAGTAGTTGGAGGAGGGAAGATGTATATATGTATGTTCTGTATGTGTTAGAGACCTCCCTGAGTTGTAGAAAATGACTGGGTTACTTTAGTATCTGAGGACTAGGACTCTGCCCAGTCTAAAATCATTTTTGATATAGCTAGGGCAGAGAGAGAGAGAGAGAGATAGTCATAGTCATCCCTTACCATGTGTTTGGAAGCTGATTCCAGGACCACTGCAAATACCAAAATCCACAGATGGTCGAGTTCCTTATGTAAAGTGATGTAGTAGTTGTTTATAACCTGCGCACATCCTGTTGCATACTTTAAATCAGTTCTATGTGACTTATAATAATTAGCTCAATGTAAATGTTGTGTAAATAGCTGTTACACTGTATTGTTTAGGGAATAATGACAAGATACATAAGCCTTTACATGTTTAGTGCAGATGTAACTTTTTTCCCTAAGTACTTTTCACTCATAGTTTGTTGAATCCATGGATGGAACACCCACAGATATCGAGGGGGACTGGACTGTATGTGTGTGTGCTTATGTATGCATGTACAAGTACATATATTATAAGCAACTCTAAATGTTGTATCTATTTTTAGGCACATTTGGCTGCTGATTCAGAGTGACATGATGGAAATTCTCTCTCTGATTTATAAGGAAGTCTTAGAAGGGACATTTGCTGCTGATCCTCCTTATTACTCTTTTCAAAGAGAAGCACACTGGCTTGGGCATGACATTCCCATTTAGATGATTTCTAACAGTTGTGGGCACTGGGAAGATAACTCTCCTCTTACCCTTGTGCAGATTTCTTCTCTTAGTTAATTACCGAGGTGACAGGTGTGTGTGCTGGTGGGGGGTTGGGTAGGGGGCAGTGTTGAATGAGAGAGACAGATTGCTTAGATAACAGGCAGGGGCATCTGGTTATTTTGAAGTCTCAGAAAATGAAGACTCTGCTCCCTGGGGAAAACTTCAAGGGGTTCTTGGATCAGTTGGCATGAGTTTTCTAATCTTTGCTCATTTATTTCTCCTACCTCCTTCTCTGTATTTATTCCCAGGTTCTTGACCTCCAGGGGGTGGTTAGTTATTGTATGTCACTAAGAAAAGCTTGAAGATTATAGAAATGAGGCCCTTTTTTCTGATTTCTTAATTTAGGTTTTAATATTTTAGGAATTTGAAAGGAAAATGGCAGCAAGGTAGCAGCAAGTTCTCTCTAAAAACCCAGCCCATTGTTTTTTTGAAGATGTTCTACTAGTCCATCCTACCTCCTGAGTCTTTCGAAGTCAGAATCACTCATTTATGTGTGAATGCACTGGATTTGATCCCAGGGCCTTGCAAATGTATATATGTATGTATGTTTGTGTGTGTGTGTGTGTGTGTGTGTGTGTGAATGTGTGTGTATGTATATCTGTGTGTATGTATGTATATGTGTGTGTGTGTCTACACACACACACACACACACACACACACACACATATTTTTTTGGATAATGAGAATTTAACCCAGGGATTCTTTGCCACTTAACTACATTCTCAGTTCCTTTTATTTTTTATTTTGAGATATGGTCTTACTAAGTTACTAAGGCTGGACTAGAATTTGGGATCCTCCTGCCTCAGCCTCCTGAGTTGCTGGGATTAGGGTTATCAGTGTATACCACCATACCTGTCTCAAAGCCAGCATCATCTCTTTTTTTTTTTTTTTTTTTTGGTACCAGGGTTGCTTAACCACTGAGCCCCATCTCCAGCCCTTTTTATATTTTGAGACAGGTACTTTTTAAGTTGCTGAGGCTGGCTTTGAAGTTGGTATCCTCCTGCCTCAGCTTCCTGACTGCTGGAATTACAGATGCACCACTGCCCAGAAAAAAACAGCATCATTTCTAAGGGAAAAAATTCAGAATAGTTTGTATCATCTTCATGTAGGAAGTATAGAGTCACATGTTATGCAGGTTGAGTGTCCCTTATTTGAAATGCTTGGGACCTGTGGTGTTTTAGGTTTCTGATTTTTTCCCCCCAGATTTTAGAATATTTACATATGCATAATGAGATATCTTGGGGGATGGGACCCAAGTCTAAACATGAGACTAATTTATGTTTTGTATACACATAAGCTGAAGGTAATTTTATACAACAATTTTAGTGCACTTTTAGTCTGCCACCTGTTACATGAGGTCAGGTGTGGAACTTTCCACCTGGGC